AGTTTACGCGTCTCGGCGTTTTTTCGTGCAGTTATTACGAAAAAAAAAAATTTATTATGTATAGCTTAAAATTATTGTAACCCACAGAGGTATGTTGTATATACACACATTAATAGAAGTTCACCAAAATTTATATAAAACTATTAGTCGATTTAAACAATTAACTTTTTATTGACCATATTTACTCCACATGTATGTATGTGGTGGTATGTAGAACACATATGTATATAAAAAAATTACACATTGGAAATAAATTGTCAATAATAGCACTGTGTGACAGCTAAATGTGTTACAGAAATTTATATGCACCATGTATTCTCTGCCGTCTGCTGTAATTATTGAAAAAGTAAACGTCTTGGCTGTTCACCAAAACGGTCTATAGTTTCATCGACAATCTCATATTGATTCTCTGATACAAACTTTCGATGTACGCTTAGAAGACACAAACCTAAAGATAAAGTAGTAAAGAATTGAACTATAAATTCATTTATATGTTTACCGTTTAATCGATTTTCGCTCATTGTTGACCGTAGCCAGGTTTTTACCCTTCTCAAAGTACTGAATGACCTCTCAATTGTGCAAGTGGTACACGGTAGAGCCAAATGCACTAGTAGTGCTTTTTTTATTAATGGGTAAAAAATATTGGTTTCTGCTGCCGTTTCGTCCATCCCAATCAATTTCAATTCATCTGCAGATTTTTGTTTTCTCTGCCAATTCTCATACCATATTTGACTTTCAACAGCTAAACCGTCCAAGTGGTAAAACTTCTCTACTTCTAATACTTTGTCTTGGAAATCGGCTTTAGAAATGGATAGCATGTGTGATGGCTGTAGAAATGAAGTTAAAAAGGCTGGCGTGTTTTCAGCAGAAAATCTCTCATTTAGTGACATTTTTAGCGAATCCAGGTACGGTATTAATAAAGATATTTTAAAATAATCTTGTGTGGAGTTTGAAGGTACATTCATTCTTTGTGTTTGCCTGTTACATATTCTTGGTGGTTTTATTTGAACGCCTAATAATTCTGCAGTAGCACATGCTTCTGTTAAAAGCTGTTCAATGCCACTATCTGCGTTTCCACGATGTTGCTCTATAATATTGCTGATGTTTTTAATATAATCTGCACACTGTACCACTGTACCAATAAANAGCTGAATGAAGATGGAAAGCTGTTTTTCGCGTGGTGGCATTTCCCTCAGTCGACAATTTTTCCAAACCATTGACAATATCTACGAAATGAGTTTGAAATATACCTATACTTTTATATTTTTGCGACCAGCGCGTTTCGCACAAAAGCGGAAGGTTTGGTGCATGCACTCTTCGTGTAGTCGATTCACGATAAAAACAAATTATATCTTTTATTGTGGATATAGTGTTCCGAATTTCTGGCAGCTTGCTCAAGTCGTTTACAACAAGATTTAACCGGTGACTAGTGCAGTGAAAAAAAAGGGCTTTGGGATACTTTTCTTTTATTAATTTTTGAACGCCTCCTTCCTTCCCAGCCATCGTCGCGCACCCATCGTATCCTTGTCCCACGCATTTACTTGGATCAAGACCTTGTTGCATTATAAATGTGTCAATTGCATTCACTATTGTTTTGGCATCCATTGCTTTTAGTTCAATAAAACCCAGGAACTCTTCGTATACTATAGTGGCTTCGTCAGAAAACCTGACGCCTATAGATAGCTGCTCCTTACCCGAGATATCACAGCTTTCGTCCGCCAAAATGCTATAGGCAATAGCTTTCTGTGCGCGTGAAACAATTTTTTCTCTTATAATATTTCCACATATGTTAATGAGCTCATTCTGAATTTGTGGTGATGTGTACTTAGCTCTTGCACTACTTTCTGAAAAATGCTGCTGCAAAACACTATCTCCAGCATGAATAGTTAGTTTTAACAAATCAATTAAGACACCTTAAAGGATTAATTAAGTTATTTAAACTTTGTTTTATAATTGAGTACATACAGCTGCGCTGTTGGTGTAGTGGTAAGCAGTGCGCGCTTCCACTCCACAACGCCTGGGTTCAAACCCTGGTCAAAGCAACATCGCAAAAATATAGAAAAAAGGTTTTTTCTTAACAGCGGTCGTCCCTCGGCAGGCAATGGCAAACCTCCGAGTGTATTTCTGCCATGAAAAACAGCTTCTCATAAAAATACAATCGCCG